AAGTATCTTGAATGTATTGCCTGCAACTTTACACATTAATAAAACCTTACCTCTTATTCAAGAAAAATGTGAGCATCGCTTGCTTTTAAAAAGGGCGTCTTGAATTTTGCAGAAGCTCTTACTGGTACTTCTAGAAGAGACAAAAGTCCTAAGAAAAGGTTTCATTTCTCTTTAAATGTAGGACTATTTCCCTTCTCTGTTTCAATTTCTTTTAGGACACAGCTATCCAAATTACCTCTTGAGACTTTGTACCCTACTCTATCAAAATTAAATCTTTTAAATTTACTGCCCCTTTAAAATGTAGCCCTTAATGAGGTTACTCTGCTGAGGAAAGCTGTTTCTACATGATAGATATGCAGCAAATTGGCAGTGCCTTACAGCGAAGGGCTGTAGGTTGCAACTTGAGGAAGTCCATCTTGTAAATAAAACACTGCCTCTCTTTTTGCAGAAAGCCACTTCAGCTGCTGACACACAGCTTTGTATTATACCCACAGAAAGCTGAAGGCCAGTGTTGCTGATTTGCCTGCTTTCAAATCTGCTTCCAGTATTCATGCCTCTCTCACTGTTCTTGAATCTCATGGCTTGCTGTCTTCCTCAGCTGTATGTTTCATCATAAAAAGTCATGTAGAATTATTTGGACTAAAAGTAGCTTCTGTTTTTCCATGTATATATCATTGGCTGTGGCAAGGGATTATCAACAATAATTTGGTAAGGAGCAGGTAGGATCAAGGACGAAAAAATAGATTTACAGGAAGAAGCCCTGAGATTTTACTCCAGCGTATAAAGCTCCAGAGATACAAGTATGAATTGTGACCTGAGTTTAATAACTTCAAATGGCTGCACAAGTAAATAATTAAGAAGCTATTTGTCTTTAAAAAGGGAGGAGCAGGGTGCTCAGGTAAAGAAACAGGAGGGTTTGTGCCTTTTAGATAACTGCTCATTATCATTTGGAAGTGGTCACCTCAGTTAAACATGTGTGCTTTAAAAAAATTAAAGGAATCTGGCTATGCAGCCTTGGCCTTGTCAGACCACAGGGAAGAAATGTAAGTAGTTTGCTCTGGAAATAACTCTTTGGTTATTGATTAGTCAGCCAGGTTGTGGGGGATGCTTAATGCTATGCAGATTGAAGGAGGAAATGAAATGTGTCCCTGGTAATAGCATAGAGATGACCATCTCAACCCTTTGAGAAATGTTGATGGTTTTTACAGACTTGTATGAGATTAGGAAAGAAAACTGTTCAAATGAGCAAAAGCACAGAGCAGGAAAAGAGAAACTTGCTATATTTACTGAGAAGAGCAAAGAGTAGGATTTGGGCTGTCTGAAAAGGGGGATTACTATGTAGATATGGGTAAGAATTTTTAGAAAATTTTAAATGGGAAAAGTTGACTTTGTAAAGGGAAACAATAAATAGAGCACTTAAAAACTGTTATTCCTGGAAATATTTTCAGCAAGGCTGCAAGAAATAATTCCCAAGAAAATAATGTTTATAATGAAAACAGACTATTATCTTTTTTTTCAGGACACAAAAGTAGCTGAAGTTGACCTGAAGGATTTAATTGATTAGATAGCTGATTTTCAGAATTACCAGTGATTGTGACATTCTTGGAGTTTGGTTTGATATACAGTTCAGGAACTGTCACTGGTTGTGGGTTTTGTTAATTGGAGATGTAATTCTGGGTTTCTACCATTTGTGTTATTTTTATACTGACATATCTGGGGGAGAGGGCACACTGAGAAAATTATGTCTTCATTGGAAAACATAATTTTAACTTATGTTTTAATGATTTAAAAATTTAAGCTTATTGTTATCCGTTCTCTTTTGAAAATTGGGTAATCCTGAAGTACATTGTAGCTCTGGACAATAGTTTGTTGTCAGATTTTAAAATACAAAAGAAATTGAGTTCTTTTGTATTCAGGCTATTCAAAATAGCCTGAATTAATTGGAGCTCTTTATACTTTTATTACTTGAAGTTTTAGTCAGATTATTGGGTAACCTCCTTTGAAAAAATAAATTTAAAAAGCAAGCAGAACACTTTTCTAACAGTTGTACTCTTTTTAAGGAAAATTGTGTGAAAAGTGATGCTTCTTTGACCAAAGTTTTCCTTGTGATGGCACAATTAACACTACCTAACACAATAAGAATCAACTGAAAATAGTTTTGTAGATTTATGCAAATATGAGATGTCTCTTCTCTGTTTCATTTCACTGTTGAAAGCTGTGTAGGCTGCAATGCTCACATTTTATTGGTGGTGGGGTTTTTGTTTGTTTTGGGTTTTTTTTGTTTGTTTGGTTTGGTTTGGTTTTGGGTGTTTTGTTTGTTTGTTTGTTTGTTTGTTTGTTTGTTTGTTTTAATGGCACAGTCAGCAGTCTCACGTTCCTCAGGGATTCTTGCTGGGAGCAGTTCTAGTCAACATCTTCCTTCATGACCTGAAGGAGATAGTGAACAGAAGTTCATGGGCAATACTAAGTCCTTATGTGTAGCCAAATCTATGCCAAGGAAAAGGAATTTCAAAAGAACTCACAAAAAAGAGTGGACAGGCAAATAAGGGGTAGAAAATATTTAAGTACTTTAAAACGTCTGGGTAAAAGTATTCTAAACCTTCTTCACACAATGCAAGGAAGAAAGTCCTGGAGTCATCATTGGTAATTCTCTGAAATCATTGGCTCAGCACAATCAATTTTCAAAAAAGCTAATGATAAGTCATCATCACCACATCACCAGAACAGGTATTGTGAATAAGACAGAGATGTTTTGTCACCATGAAAAGCCATAGTGTGCCCATTTTTTGAATACTGGATGAAGATTTAGAGTCTCCAGAATGAACTAATGAACTAATGGTTTAGATAGGATACAAATGAGAGGCATTTATGCAGCAAGGGGATAGAGTAGCTGCCTTAAGAAGGAAAAATTCAGAAGTCAGGGTTGCTTCAGTTTGAAGAGGAGAAGGCTGAGGTATATGCAATCAAAGTTTACAAAGTCAGAAAAACACTGAATAAGTTGGATATGGAATTGTTCACCAAATTGTGCAGGTGGTATTCAAAACCAGTAAACAAACATGGATACATTAGTGGCTAAATTATTTCTTTACACATCAGGTTTAAGCCTCTGGAGCTTGCTGCTCCATGGGGTTGTGAAATGGGCAATATCAGCTGGTTCAGAAAAGGATTAGACTTATTACTGAGGAATCTGGGTACATTACCAGGACTGGGCCAGGGATAATACCTTCTGATATTCCCTAGTGGAACAGTTATGGATGCTGGAGAAGTATGAGGGGAAGACACTGTAGGAACCAGTAGGCTCCTGTGTTCGCCCCAAATGCTACTCCTGGCAATAGAGCACGAGGCTGCATTTCCTTTGTTGTGATCCAGTACAGTGTTATTTCTTACATTCTTGTGTTTTGGTTATTTAATGAAGATATTTGCCTGCAGTTTTAAATGGACCTGCAGCAAGAAGCTGATGGAATTTGTCTGGGAGAATGGTTTCTCCTGATTGTGATCCATGGGTATTACTCAGTGAAAGGAAGAGTAGACTGAGCCATTTTTCTGTTGGTGTCATATACATCATGTCTTCTAGTTTCTTTGTATCAGATTTGTGCAATCAATGTGATGGAATACTAAAATAGCTAAATGAGTAACATTTGAGCAGATTCACCATGACCAACCAAAGGCAGCAATTACCTGCCCCTCTTGCCAAGTAAAACATGGTAGCTTAAACCATGATTTAGTCTGACAAATGATTTGTGGTTTAAGCCTAGAACCTCCTGATTCACACACCAATATACAGTCAGTTACTGCAATTTGGATGATGAATGCTGACTCATTGGGCTCCAGGACTGAATTTTATTCCAACTGAAATCTCTACTCTTTGGTATACTTCTACATATTTTGTCCCCATTTTATCAGCCTTTTTCTTCAGCATATTCAGCACTTCAATAATATTTAGGAAAGGGCTGTGTGTTTGAAGATGGGAAATGTGTATAACTTGGTAGGACCCATTACTGTGTATTCAACCCAACAAATGCTGTTTAGATCACTGGGTGTTTTGGTAACTGATGTAATGTCAAATGCACTGATCCAGTGAAACGCACGTGCAGTCTTGGCTGCGAAAGCAACATCTGACAGAGCTGAATCAATGACTGCATAGCTTTTAAAGAGGGTTCTTGTCAACACAAGTGCAACAGAGCACCATCTCCTCGCTGTCCGTGACTAGAAGAAAGAAATGAGAAACCACTTTCAACCAGATGGTGATTCCTTCTAGATGAAATAGGAGTCTTGTGCTTAGTATTTTCCGTGAAGTTCATTTTACTCCAGTATTTTGTTGCACTTTGTCTTGGGCACAGAAGATTGCAGGTCAAATAAGCATGAGGGAATTAATAAAAACCCTGAATCTGTGGGAAAGGCAGAAAGAAGGGAAAGAATCAACCTGAAATGTTTCTAACCACTGAGCTGTAGTCTGGAGTTTGGATACTTTTACACTTTGGTTACCAAAGTAGTCCAATGACTGCTAGCTAGGAAATTACTGTATTTTAAATGTGACAACAAAACAATTAATAATCGTAGTAGTTCTGACTTGTTAACAAATACTTTTTACTGTCCTCTGTCTGGGTTGTTATATCATATTGCAGGCATGAAGCTTTGAACATCTTTGAGACAGTTAGCATGATCTTAAAGATTCAAAGCTGCCAATATTGCTAAGAGTGAATCAAATATTCAAGCAAAGGAGTTTACATGTGTGTTCAACTCTGCTGTTGCTAAAGCATTTTCTTATTTAGAATATGAGTGGATAGGATCAAGAACTTTGCTATACTATTTTAGTATAGAGCATTCAGTCCTGGCAGTGTCCAGAGCTTTCCATTAGCTTGTCACTTGACCTTACAGAAAAAGTAATATACAGAAATAAATGGTTTTCTCGTCTTTGATGCAATTTATTCTTACTGGCTTTGAGAAAATATGCGTATAAAAGAAGAAGATTTAAATAGATTCTAACTTCATCCTTTCAGGTTCCTGAGCATGCAGAACTTGCCTGGATTCTTGGGTGCTTAACTAATGTGCCACGTCTGCTGCGTTTGCCCCAGTGGAAGGTATGGACAGTTTGGTAAATTTAGGAAAAATTAATGGGAGTTCAGTAGAAATGTTGTCCTGGAAATACTTTTCATCTATGAAGTACCAGCTTTACCTCAGTTGTTCTTGCTTTAGGTTTAAGTGATTCTGTAGTCATGTGGTGGAAGGGGTAAAACATATCTCTCCAGGTCTGTTCCTCTAAGTAAACATTTTCCTGCTGGAAGCTACAGAATTGTGGTTTTGGTAGAGATTTGCAGAAAAACTGTGCTAAAAAAGAGACTTGTTTGCTGTTGTTAAACTGATTTTGCTAGAACATTCAGTGTCATTTCAGTGCTTGTTTAATTATGCAAAAGTAATGGCAGATACTGCAGTGGAAACCTTGGCCCTTGCTGATTAAGGAGTTCCATAAACAGCTTTTCATTTTCCACTATAAAGAGTGGCTGCTCTGTAGATTTTATGGAAGAGTGTTCAAAAGAGGCATATGTTTGAAGAGGAGTATAGAAATGATAAATATTAAAAATGTGCTGAGTGATATTGTATCTTAAACATTTGCCTTTACGAGTGTCAAATGTTCATCTTCTTAATCTTGATGTTGCATCAGCCTGACTGCATCAACAGAGTTCTTGCATTTAATTTCCTTGTATTTTATTTTGACATTTAGTAAGCAGAAAAAGAGAGGAGAGAGAAGTATCTGAAAAAGAGGGGAAAAAAAAAAAAACCCCAACAGCTTAAGAGCAGTTTGGGCTTGCAGAGTTCAGAGCAGTCTTAAATACCTCCAGATGTTTTCTTTTTTCCTGTTTTCCTTCTTAATTAAATAAAACCAGTAAAACTTAAATACAGCAACCAGTGTTAATGCATGGCATAGACTAAAGCAAACCTTTTCAAACCTGAGGTTCTAAAGTTAAGCTCTTTAGTCCTACTTTGACTGGATTGACTTTCCAGACCTACAGATAGGTGTTACAGGTGCTAGACTTTGCAAATTAGGTTCCCTGAACCCTAGGCACTGAAGATGCAGACAGAATTTAGGATCTGTTGGAGAGCGTGAGACAAGTCTAAATATATTTGAACAGTCCTAATGAAATAATTCATAATTCAAGGGGTTTAGTATATTTAACCATTGCCACAAGTAAAACATAGCTATGGCATCGCTGGAACAGAATTAGTGTTTGCAGCCTGACTGTCTTGATCTCAGTGATCCATATCAGGGAGCAGCAGAGGACTTGAATGCATTAGGTGGACTGTGGGGAGCAGTGAGAACTGCTGGAGACAGCGCTGGAGTCTGCCTCTGTAGTTCTGGGTTCTCCCCGCTGCCACTGGCTGTCCTGGTGACTGTGTGTGATCATTGTGTCTTGATCCCTAACATAGGTATTAATACCTTTTTGTATCTCCATTATGAAGTGTTTTGAAAATTTATTGCTGAAGACACTATTTCAAAAGTAGGATTTATGTGTAATATACAAGTTTAATAACTTAGCCTGATGGTTTTGCACTTGAAATCATTTCCATTAATAAGGTTACAAATAGAAAACAAAAGAAATCCTATGTTCCCTTCTCTCTACACTATCAGAACAGTGTAGAAAAATTCATAAGTATAAGACATAAACCAGAATATATTCATAAGGAGTGGATTTTACATGACACTGTCTTCTGTAGAGCTATGTAATAAATTACTCAATTATTCAGAATTCTAATTAATTAAAATCACAGACCTTGATACCATTAGTCAAAAGTGTGATTATTCTCTGTTTTTCTTTTCCAAACAGATGAAGCGTGCCAGCCAGAATAGCGAAGGAACTGTTGGCTTGTTGACTTACCCTGTGCTTCAAGCAGCAGATATTTTGCTGTACAAGTAAGAGGCAGAATGTGAGCCCATGGGCAGTGTCTGTTCAGCTGCATTGGAATGAATGCTTGTCAGGTCAACATGCTAACTTATTGAGCAGGGGAGCTGGGTGTGATTAGATCAGAAGATTGGAAATGGATGACAAACTCTCAAGTGGCTGGTTGAAATCTATCCTGGTTAAAAAGCTGCTGACGGGGCTGTAAAGAGCAAAAGCTGGTCAGATGAGAATAATTCTTAGGGAATTATAACAGACTGATGTTTAATTATACATATTACACATTCACACTGATACAATTTTTTTTTATGTAGTTATGCTTTATTTTATGCAGTGTACTGTAGAAGTACTTAAACTGTCTGTATGTAGCACACCAGTATTAGTGGGGGATTCTGTGTAGGCCAGTTCATACTGATGAAAAAGAGTAACTTATTGACTGCAGCTTGTATTACCTGGGCTAGTGCTGCAGTGGAAACAGCCCCTAGTGAGGGACTGGGGACTCAGCATGCCTAAGCCTGTAGCCTGGCTAATAGAATTTGTAGTGCATTGTCATGACTGGTTGAATTTCATAATATGATTTAAACTGTCCCAGTAAGTAAATGTTAAAGACAGTGCACCATATATTAATTGTTTTTATGTTCCAAGCATATTTACTTTGTAGCATTGTTCTGAAGAAAGTTGTGAGTATTGTTTGGAACAGAGAAGTAACATAGGATTGAGGACAAGGATGTCAGGTCAGACTAACCAAGATTAACCAGTTGTGAATTCAGAAAAATGTATCTAGAGAAGTTTCTTGTTAATTGATCATAGTAGGGAAAAGAGGACTGTTAGAAGACCAAGAGATGGTATTTCTAATTTACCTACATTTTAACTAAAAATAACATGAAGCAAGCAAAAGTCAGAATTATTTTGAATATTATAATGATTTTATTTGAAGTCCCATCTGATTGTCAAATATTTGAGTGATTTGAGTGTCAAATATTTAAGGGTAAAATTTAGACAACTCTATCAGAAATCACGTTGTTTTGATTGAGCTCAACCATGTCTGTCTCTTCCATCTTTAATAAGATCAGGTGTTTTGTCTTTCCTTAGCAAAGCCAGTGGTTTTTTGGCTACTGTCTGTATTAACAGCAGGCTGTCCACCCAGAGCACAAAACAAGGAATTGAAAGAGAAACCATATCTCTTTGAAGAAACGTGACTTAAGATCTTTAATAAGAAATGCTTTAATGTAAACAAAATAATATGAGGAACAAGAGTTGGTGAGAAATGGAAACACAGGAAGGGAACAGCAGTCATGAAGTAGAATTTAGAGCTGGAGGAGGGGGAGAAACAGTACTAGCTCAGATGAACCAAGGATCAAAGAGACAGGAAAATGGACAGAAGGTAAGTACATGACAGAAAGGACTAAAAATAGCACCAGGATAGAAATACTAAAAGAAAAAAAAAAAAAAAAAAAAAGCCAGCAAGGAAAAAGGCAAGGTATCGTGCAGAGACCTTTATAGAGATAATATGTTTTCTGTTTAGTGGCAAACTTTGTGAATATGGAACCATTTTGGCATATGGAAACATTTCTTTTGACCTGCTTAAAGTATATTGATTATGGTAACTGATTTTCTCTCAGTTATAGGGCACTGTGATTTCCTATTGATTCCTACTGTAGCTTCTTTTTAGGTTGTCTTGCTGACTGGTTGGGAATAAAGGTGGACAAATTGATTCCTGGATGTCAGCCCAGTAATTCAGAATCGGAAGGAAAGAGTACCATGTTGATCTGAAATTTTCTGGGAACTTAAAAGATGCATAGTGATCTTCCTTATTTTGGAACATATCCAGTATTCATAGCTGAATACCCCGTAAGCCTTAGAAAAAAAATCTGCTGGGGGATGGGAGAGTAATCAAAAGCTGGCAAGATTTCAAGTCTGCATCATCTAAAAGAATCATACATTTTTAGCAAGTATGATTAACTGTGGGAAAGAATCACCAGGGGAAGTAATGGATTCTTCACCTCCCCGTGTCCTCTGATGCAGATTGTGTTTCCCTCCAGAAGTGTATTCAAGCCATTAAGTTCAATATAGAAGATCAGATTATCCTTTGAATCCAACAGTTCTAATCCTCTAATAACACTTGTGACAATAGAGGCACTGGACCACATGATTTATACAATTGTGATGAAGAAGAAACACTCTCTTCTTTCCTTCCCTGGATACTAACTCCCTCAGTACTAACTCCTCAACAACAGTTATGTTTCCCTGAGACTTAACATGACAAGCTGCTTGCACTTTATGCCTTGCAGATCTTTCTTACTTTTTTTTACACTATAGCATGTGCTCTTTGATCTCTAAAGAGGCAGCAGGAGACACTAAAGAAACCTTTCTTTGAGCTGAGTTTAATGAGTTGCTCTTGCAGGTATCTTTGCCATATTTATCTTCACAAAGGGCTATTTTTGCCCTTGGTTATGTGCTTCAGTTTAGCACAAAAAGCAGACTCATCCTTGAATATGTTCAGTTTGGGATCTTGTTCCCACAGCACCTATATCTAGCTGGGACTGAATGTTTGGCTCAATCTGGCCCTCTGTCATGGCAGAAGCTGTGACAGTCCTGAGCAACATTTCAGCAGAACCAGAGAGCTTTGCTGAGTTTCCTGTATCTGTCTTTTATTAAAAGGTCAACACGTGTTCCTGTTGGAGAAGATCAAGTCCTGCACCTGGAACTAGCCCAAGATATAGCACAACATTTCAACAAGAAATATGGAGAATTCTTTCCTGTGCCCAAAGCCATTTTAAGTGAGTTGGTTATTTTTTTTTCCCTTAACTGCACTTCAAAGTTGAAGATGGATTTAAATATTGTGGAAATAGTTTCAGGGATGAAGAAAAGGGGGCAAACTGATATTAAGGGTGTGGAAAATTAAAAACTGGCAACAAGAGCCTAGAGGCTGTGAAAATGAACTCCCAAGATAGATATAAGGCTTTAGAAATCCATGGTTGAGGAATGTACGTGACGTCTGGTATTCTAGTCCAGGGGGCCAGATGCACTCTACTGCTGCCAGTCAGCCTTGCTCTTCAAGTACTGGACCTTTTAAGAGAAGGGTCTCTATTCCACATTGCTCATTCAGGAGACGTAAGCAACAAGTCAAGAGACCTCTAGCAAGCAGAATTCTTCAGTGTCCAAGTGGGAGATGTTTACTTTAAGCATGCTGAACAGCCTGTTGGTTTATATGTACAGTGCTCCAACTCTTTTTAAGGGTGTTTTATATAAGCTTGAGTATTTCAATATGTGTCTGTCACAGAGCTTAAGACTTTAGGGTTTTGATCTTAGTCTCAGGAAGACTTACAAGGAAAATCTTCTCAGCCATTTTTGAGCTATAAGGTCATAGGCCGGGGGGTGAGGAGGAGTCAGATGGCGCAAATGGCATGTTTGCTAAGAAACGTGAAGAATTGGGCAAGGATGAAGCGTTGCATCTTTGTTGTAAGTAATGTAGAGGAATGCACAGTAGAGACCTTCGCCCCCAAAAGGGCAAGGAGCTCTCACCTTAGGTTTATTACTGCCTGTCTTTTCTTTCTCAATTTTCAAGCCTCAGTGACAAAAATGGTGTTAGACCTGGAGTGGAGTTTTGAGAATATTAGGGATTGTAAACTCTGCAGTTTCTAATGGAGTAGTAAGCACTATAAAGAGGAGCTGAGTGTAGCCTCTGATGCAGGTGAGACTGTTTACCATTAAATAAAAAGCTCTGTTTGAAAAAAAAGAAGGAAAAAACCATTTCATTTTGCTCCCAAAAAGCATTCCTTCTTAAGTTCACAAGTATATGCAAACAAACAAAATATCCTAGATGATTGGAAAAGGTAGGGACATATTCAGACTCACTAGCTGTAGACAATTGAATTACCTGGACTCTTTCAAATTTGCAGAAGAGACTCTTCCAAAAGGTGTTTTCAGAATGAAGCACTTTCTGGGGCAATCTGAATTATATGCTGGAAGAACCCTTATCCTTTCACTGAGTACATAGGCCATCTATGAGCAGTATGCAGGTAATTTTGTTGGCTGTGTTAGGTGTCTAAAAACAACTGGTATGAGTACTCTGTGGATAAGTGATACTTTAGGTACTCCATTAATGATATTTCTTGGTGAAAAACTGAAGCAGTGTGGGTTGATGCTGTTAAATTAGTTTGCAATATTCTCCTAATGCAACTAATCTATTTCATGTACATGCATGTTTGTACAATACCCACACCTATTGTACCAGTTTGTACAATACCCACACCTTTCTTATCTGAACAGTTCTTTACATCTAACAGAGCTGGTCAGTGTTGAGTTAGAGAATTTTAGTAACTGTTTTTACTGAGATTTAGGAGAATTTCCAAGAGATTTTGAGTGGAAGAGTTTCCTAAAATAAGGAGATTAACTGTTATGGGATTCTTTTTTTTCTTTTTTCTTTTTTTTTTTTTTTACCAGTGGAGTTAACCTGTTTCTCCACTGCTCAAAACCATTCAGTAAGGTGCAGTAACAGAAGGGGGTAGAAATCTGGATGGAAATCAGCATGTAAGCCACACAAAATGTTAGGAGTAGCCCCAGCAGAAGTTCCTGCTTAGTGAGGATGGGAGAGAGGGAACAGGCTTCATTCAGTTTATGAGAGGAGAAAGGTGCCTTCTTAGAAGGACGGGAAGGATGCAAGGACTAAACAGAGCATACATGATTGTGTTTGCAGTTCGTTTTTGAGCAAGGGTGAACAGCTTCATCATATAGCTGGACACTGTTCTTAGCAATTATCATAAGAAACCATTGCCTGTGCTCATAACTTGTTTTTTTTTAAAGGTACTACAAAGAAAATAAAATCCCTGAGAGATCCATCGGCGAAGATGTCCAAGTCAGACCCGCAGAAGTTAGCCACTGTTAACATAGCAGACAGCCCAGATGAGATAGTGCTGAAATTTCGCAAAGCTGTGACTGACTTTACCTCGGAGGTGACCTACGAGCCCGCCGCTCGCCCCGGTGTCTCCAATCTGGTGTCCATTCACGCTGCAGTAACGGGGCTTAGCATCAAAGAGGTGCTGCACCAAGCCACTGGTCTCGACACTGCTCACTACAAAATGGTGGTAGCAGAGTCGGTTATCCAAAAATTTGCACCTATCAGGAATGAAATCAAGAAGCTCCAGGAAGACAAGTCTCATCTGGTTAAGGTTTTAGAGGATGGAGCAGAGAAAGCCAAAGAACTGGCTGCTCCTATCTATCAAGAAATAAGGAGACTGGTGGGATTTCAATAGAAGCTGCTGAGTAGTTGCAAGGACTTTTGTATCATGGGACAGAGATTTTGTTATTTGTAACAAAATCATTTATTAATTATTAATAATTTTGGTTTGAAACAAGAACTTTTCTTCATGGAAGATCCAAGGCGAACGTTGAAGATGATTGCATTAAAAAATGTGCATAAAGCCAGGTATTGCCAGTGGGACCAGCATTAAGTTTGTCTGGCTAGTCAAAGCGGGAGGACAGAAGCAATCACAATTCACAAAGAAACTGTCCAAAAGCAGATTATAAGGTTGTCTGTGTGGGTTTTTGTATTTTTCCATTGACCACTGCAAGAAGCTGAATTGTAGGTAAGGTGATCAGAATCTAGCAGAAGGATTTGTAATCCCCTCAAGAACATACTTAGCTGTGTATGTGTTGTTGTTACAGATGGGCAATTTATCCTGCTCGGGGTTATTCAGCTTTCATATGGTGATTGAACATGTTCTTGGGTAACCAGAATAAAAGCAAAGACTTAAAAATAAATGCTCAGGATAATGAAGAGGGAACTTACTGCTTCTCCCTGTAGTTTCTTCAAATTCAGTGTGAATTATTTTTTTGCATCTATGTAATTTGTATGAAGTGGATTTCACTTCTGCCATTTGTGCCATCCTGCTGGTCAAGTCTAAGGTACTTCAGTGAGAAATGACGTGCTTCAGCTGCTCCTATTTCACCTGCTGTTCTGTTTAACAGGCAGCTCTGGGATTTTCAGTTCAGTATCAAGTCTAGAATTGCCTTTAAAAAGGTGTAGAAGAGAAGATGTAATCCTGAATCAAAGAAATCGTGGACTGAGAATCAGGGAACTTTCTGTAAAGTTTACAAAATTACTTCTTTAGAAAACTGTGCTAAGGTCAGAGCCAGAATAGTTAAATAGATCTTTATGGACTCTTCACTACTGAGCCTTGAGAAAGTGTAGTGATGGGAGAGCAGTGTTAGCCTGCCCTGAACTTGGGCCTCCCAAGATCCACAGACTTGGACCCATGGCTTGTGGCACTTGTTGGGGAATGTGTGGCAAAGGGGAATTGCCAAAAGGAGACACCATGTTCTGAAGAGGGCTAGTAGTACATGTTAAAAGGTAATGAAAGCCCTGCTGATCCTGTGCCAGCATATTTAGCTGTGTCGTTACACTTCATGGTGCTGTGTATGAAATTGCTGTACTGTAAATTGAGTTAATCCTGTACTCTGGCAGCTCATAACCACACTGTGCCGGTGGCATTTGTCATGAAGGATTGCAGTCTTACATGACTGAGTTAGTAAAACATGGCAGTGGTGGGGGGGCTCTACACAGTGCAGTTGGTTGATTGGTTGGTTGTTTTGGGGTTTTCTAAAAAGCAGTATTTAGTTAATTATAGTGAGTTGATTCAGAAAGAAATATTTAATTTTCCAAAACATAAAGCTGAGGACTGAGCATCTCTAGATCTGTGCTGAGACCTGTATTTATTTGTTAGGGATCTGAAGAAAAGAACTGCCATGCAAGAGCTTGATGATGACAGATTTTCTAAAATTAGTCAAGACTAGAGAAGCAGAGTGGATGGAGCCAGACTGATTGGAACCAAACTCAGTGTAGACAAGCCTAAGGTAATGTCCTCTGGAAAGAATAAGTATATTCAAAAATTGTCCCTGGTTTTAAATAAGCTGTAGTGGATAAGGAAAGAACATGTTATAAGTGTACATATTTTACATAGTTTTACAAAACTTTTGTCAGTGTTTAACAGCTGCATTAGAGCACTGAGATGAAAAATTCAGGATTTCTGCAAAGGTGCCACGGTATGTACCTTGAGAGAAGCTAACATTGTCCTCATGAAGACTCTGAAAATCTTTAATACTGGTATATCTAATTTCTACCTGTATCTCTTTTTCACTAGCAAAGATAGAAGCATGTATTCAAAAGACAACTCAGAGTTTCAAGGTCTCTTTGCACTTCTGATACGCAAATCACCTAATATATAGAGTTGCCATTCAACACACCTTCTCTGCAGTGGAAGGAAAATAGGAGCATTCATGGGAGGGGTTGACACCAACAGATGATTTTGGTTTGTTAGATAAACTGTTCTGAGCAATCTTTCCAAAAGTGTTAGATTCTTTTTCAGAAAATCATGTACATAAACCAGGAAAAAAAACTTCAAAAGAACCTTTTCTTTGAGGTGGGGGTTTAAGGCATTGCATATTTATCTGTGTTTCAAGCAAATTCACTAATTTGCCTCTTTTTAATTAAATAATGCATTGGGGGGTTTTTCTTCCCTTTCCCCTAACAGTCAAACAAGTCTTATTTGCCTGACCTATTTCCTTCAAGTAAGGAAATACACATATTTTTTCATCTTCAGAAAAGTTAAACTTGTGTGAAATGAGTATGTTAACCTACTGATTGTTGACTAAGCTTTTCATTTTAGTTGCTCCTGTGGAGGAATTCTCAACATGTATTTGCCCAGTGAAATAATCCCAATTCCATTAACAACCATGATCTTTAGAATCCCTTGAGAGGAGACAACAAATGTAGATGTTTGCAGGTATCTGTCACATATTTCAGTTTTCTTAGAGCATGATTTTCTGCAATGTTAACCATCTTGGCACTCAGGTGGTTTAGCTGAGCTTGAGGCAATGAGTTGTTTCCAAGCTACTCTCTCTTCTTCTACCTCCCTATTTTCCTTTGGGAATGTCTTATAAACACCCATTCTGTATAGGGTTCTGTAGCAATGTTTACTAAGGAGTGCAGTTGAGTTGGAATAGCTGTTTAGAGAAAAATTGTTGGAGAAAAATTGTTGATGCTTTACATTTCATAGTAATTTGTTTCACATAGCTATTTGTTTCACACAAACTCTAGTGCTGGGGATTTAGTGTTTGTTTGCAACACAATAGGTGCACTCCTGAAACGCATTTTCATGTTTGCTTTTATCCAGATCACATTCCCTAAGACTTCTCTGTGATGTCAGCTGAAGTGCAGTTGTTGGGGAGTTTCTGCAGAAGCACACTCCTCATCCCAGCTGCAGAGTGATAGAGAGACATGCCCTGTGTTATTGGGGAAGTCACTATAAGGTGTTCTTCCAGGACAGAGTGGGGAAAAGGTCCAAATATATCTTTCCTAATTGAAGTAAAAAGAGTCAAAATGTGGGGAGGTATCACTACCCCTTGCTGTGTTGCTCACTGAAGAAAAGGAAGCAGAAACAATGATCCTTTATTTAGAATGCATTGGTAATTTGTGCCTTAGACTCAAAATCTCCTCTTTTGCCATTCCTGGATGGTAGTGCACCTTGCCTACTGCAGATCCCAGCCACTACATATGTGTCAGGCATAGCATCTCCTGATAAGACTCACTCATCTTTAGAGATAAAACATCAATTCCACAGTGAATTACTTGCAAAAATCTAACAAAAACATTTATACACTTGAGACATTTGTTTTTCCAGCTATTTGTTCCTAGGAAGTCATGATATCACATAGTGAGTCTCAGCTCTGTACTTTCAGACTACAAAGAGGGTTTACTGAGAATTTTAGATTCAGGAACAATGTTTTCTGCATCAGAGATTCCAAATGATGATTGGCCCCATAAATTAACTCTAGGCTGCTCCAGCATACATCCCTGCCTCAAATAGCTGGAGTGTATGGATATTGTACATTCTACTGGAATGTAATTGTAACTGTCAAAGATGATATTTAGTTTTCAAACACTGTGACCTGGCTTCTCAAATTCCGCAGAAGGCTTTCTGCATAGTTCTGATTCAGTGTGTGTTTATCTACAACCAATTCGAGCAAAGCTCCTTTGCAGGATTATGGCTGCATCCATTAAAGACTAGAGAATTCATAAAAATGAGCTGAAAGTCTAAGGAAGGACAGTGAAATGGGATCCTTGGGGACTGACCTGCGTCTAAATGTTTTGGGAACCATAGGCTAGCAAAGCAAATGTTTTCTTATCCTTAGTTAGGGCCATTGTGATCCTGACAACAGTGTAGCAGTAAATACTGCTGATGAAAGTGTGTTCTTTCAGCAGTCCAGCTTGCTTGTACAAGGGATGGATCTTTCACCATTTTGATCTGTGCATTTAAGATCCTGGATGCTGCCTACCTTTTTTTTTATGACTGATGGACTGCTGCACAGACAAATAGTCTAGCAAGCAGGTGGAGGAAATCTAGTGGAAAAGGGGTTTTGTTCAGAAAATATATTATCTGTTCTTGACAGGAAAACAAAACCCCTCTTTCTGTTGTGTTGGACTGTCTAATTTCCTTTTAATTATTTGATCTGTTCATTCTTTCTAGGTAAGTTTGACAGTAGCTGCAAGAAGAATGTCAATGTATTGTGTAGTCAAAAGCCTTGGAAGGACCCAGACATCTCTCATCTTTTCTAAAGTCTCTTACATAGTGGGACTTTACTGTTAGCATCAGCCAGTTTTGGAAAAAATGCTGCAGCAAAACTGTAGTCATATGTGACGTTAATTTATCTGCTTAAAGCCTTGGTGTTTTGGTTTGGATTTTTTTTTTTTTTGCTCACTCAGCTGTGAAAGAAGACTTATTAAATATTGAATTCCCAATGAAGCTTTTTATCACATAGTCCTGTCCAGATGACAGATGAAGCAATGGAAAATTCTCTTTATTATCACAAAAGATTCTGCTCTGATTCTAACTGTCTTTTCTGTTATTCTGTTGTTTGTGCTAATGGTCATACTGTGGAAGGTTTGACACGTAAGTATTTATTGTGTGTCAATAAGAAATCATTTTACCTGCAACAGTCCCATATTATTATAGAAATGGAAGATTCACCAATCATTTCACTTGTAGGCAGCAGCCTTGATGTCACAATTATTTTATATAAAACCAAATGCCAGCCTCCTGCACCAGTAAAGTAAACAGTTTAACACCTGTGAAGATGTTATGCCACTGTTGTAAATTGCTGTCACAGAACACCAAGACTGAAGATGAGATTATCCACTGCAGGAGTGGGCCCATGCTGCCTGTGGACATAAAATTAAGCACAGATCTTAACGTCTGTTGTGCTGTCGTGCTCTCAGAATTCCAACATGGCTGTGAGACGGGAGCAGAGCAAATCTGTGCCACACCAGAAGGCTCAATCAGTTCCAGATGTGCTGCATTTGCTGTATGTGCAAGATGAAATGTCAAGACAAGAGTTGCAGAACAAAAATCCTTAAAAGTTATTAAATGTTTGGAAGTAAGAGCATGCTTGTAAAGCTTGCCTTATAAAGCCTGTGATAGCATCGTCTTAGCCTCACTCATAGAGCTGACAGGAGCAGTCACACAGCTGAGTGTGATGGTGGCATAAGGTAAGCCATCTGCTTCCTCAGTACAATAATATAAAGACAGTATGAGTCTAATTTGAGGGGTTACTGGATTAACCCTCACAGGTGGGAAATAATAGCTTGTGGCAGAGCAAGGCAGTACCACATCTCTCTTGTGTCCTAAACCATTCCGAAACCAGATGCTCACAGTTCAGGTGGGAACACAAAGCACAGAGAAGATGCTGCATGGACAGTGTCACTTGTCCCACGTGCTGTTGTATCTATGACTCTGCAATTCCTCCAATTTCAATTTGGCATGACTTTATTGTCATCCATCAATGTGAAATCATAGTCACATGCTGATAAAATTAATGGAACTTTGCTTTGAAATGCTGGATGCATGTTCTCTACTATCTTTGGTGAAAAATTCTTTCCTGATGCCCCAGGATTTGTAGAAAGAAATCATTAAGCCAAATAAGAAGAAATTTATCAAAACAAGGCTACTTTATGGCATTATCCAGAGTTTCTGGTGTAGGTGGTTTCTGGCTTCACCCTGTTTACCTTCATGCTTCATTCCCTAATGCTACATGCTACATCTCTCTTTGAGTAAAGTAAAACCTGTGTGTTGAGTGTTGTGAGACTGACTTTTTACTGTGACTGGAAACAGTTCGTCAAATATTTTTGAAGAGTCTTCTCTTTGTTTGCTGAATGAATAACTAAGATTTCAATAAGTGCCTCTTGAGTATTTAAGCCAAGAAATAAATATGAGTGGGTTGTGGTTTGCTCTGCCCACACTTACTCCTTCGTGGCCTGTTTGGCAAATGTTCCTACAGCAAGAATGGGAAAAAGAGACATTTTCTCCTTAGGGTTGAAGGCCAAATGTAAACTGCCAGTGGCAGTGTGGCAACCATTATTTTTAGATAGTCCTCATTAACTTTCTCTTAGTGATGTATCTGCACATCCCTAAAGCTGAAACTGTGTGGATATTCAGGGAGCAAAAGCACTGGATGTGAATGACTAAACCCATTTCTTTCTCAGAGCTTCTGTCTTTGCTATGCCTGATCATTGGCACACGAGGAGGAAGGGCCTTGCTGCTTGGGAGAGGATTACTGCTGTCACCATTGAGACAACTGATCCAAACTGCGATACTCCTACCTTAAGTTTGCCAACATGAACCCCCCTAGAAGGAAGCTGTGAAGTGGATGAATTTACTGTGTACACTGCATGAGTGCTGCAGGTTCCATAGTATTGGTGTGACCTGTTGGGAAAGTGTATCATTTTGGTGTTTAATAACAATTGCCAAAATGGCCCAAGGATGTGCTGGGATTCTGAAGATCTCAAAAATCTTGTGAGGAAGAGCTGAAGGAGTTGAGCTTGTTCAGCCTTGAGAAGAGATCTCAGAGAGATCTCATCAGCGTCTGTAAGTACCTGCAGGGAGGGTCTCAAGAGGATGGAGCCAGGCATCCAGTCACACCATTCTTTTTGGTGGTGCCAAGCACAGGGACAAGAGGCGACAGAAAGACACTGATGCATGGAAGTTCCACCTGAGCACAAGAAAGAACTTGTTTACTGTGCAGGTACACTGGAACAGATTTTCCAGAGATGTGGTAGAGTCTCTCTCACTGGAGGTATTCCAGAACCTTCTGGACATAGTCCCTTGCTATGTGCTCTGGGATGAACCTGCTTGAGCAGGGAGGTTGGAGGAGCTGACCTGCTCTGGTCCCTGCCAATCTGACCCATTCTGTGATTTGGTAAATTCAGATGTGTTGCTGATTTGTATGTGGGTTGTTCTGGCTCCCCTGAAGATGAAATGTGCTTTTTTGGGTGAGTTATATCTAATGGACCTAATTTCTACAGAGATATTTTTAAAATAAACTTCAGAGTTCCAAAATATCTGTAGCACAGCAACAAAATTGAAGTGATGAGCTTTGCTGCTGTTTTAATCCACTTTGTTTACCAGCATCACACACTGGCAGGAGTAGAAACTCCACTTTTTTTCTTCTTCAAGCCAACCAAGTTCTGACCCAAAGGGCTTCACTCTACTTTCTGCTTGCCTTTGAGGAGGTGGATTAGTGTCTTTGAGTGTGAATGTTGTCTTTATGGCTTATGAGGATAGCTTCCAGTAGCTGATGAGTGGTTTGTCAAGGAAGATCTCTGGGTAGCCTGAGAACATTTAATGGATGCTGCCAGGTTTTGGGGGAGGATGTTTTGCCTCAATTCAATTTAAAAAAAAAAAAAAAGTGTAATGTAGTTGCAGATGAAAATTTAATAAATAGAGAATATTGAATATTCCCTATTGGTTTTATTGAATGTTTTGCTATAGCTTCATAGAAGGCTATAGCTTCATAGAAGGCAGCAAAATGTGCATCATCAAGGCCATTTTGGTGCATTGTTTTTAATCTGATTTGAGCCTTTGTTGTCTGCCTTGGAGTTTTCTGTTCTTTTACTTCTTTCTCTGGAAAGAGTTTTGCTCTTAAGCAAACAAAATCTAAAAACATGCTTTACTTTTTATTTTTCTTTTGCTTTTGAGCAGGATGCTTAACTTGGAGCGGGATCCTTTGCCTCAGTTCCCTCGCTATAAATGAGGCATGGGAGACTTCATTACACATATGTTGGGAGGCTAAACCAATTTTTACCAAGCATTTTGAGCCTTCTAATTCAAGATGCTCTCACTTGGCACTGAGTTAAAGTATTTCTTCCTGAAGTGCTCTTTTGGTGATGCTTGTAGTGCAAGTAAACAGTGAAAAGTGCCGAAGGGCAGACAGTTTCAGTATAGGCTAATAAATAATGCATTTAGTGGAAGTATCTGAGTTGTGTGCTTCGGAGAAATCTATATGCTGTTGATTTCTACCTTGATACTCATTGTTATGCTGCAAAATACTTGAAAATGTCCTTTAATCTTTGTCTCCTCCTTGCAATGTGAATGTAAGGGCCTCTCCAAGGATCTAATATCTAAAGAAAGGTAGCAGGGAGGGGAAACAATAATTACTAAATTTCCTGAATAGTAAACAGTTTGGGTTGGCATTCGGAGTTCTTTTAGGGAGCTGGTCCCTCCGTTCTTGGCCCTCTCACTGCTGGTGGGTATCTCGAGGATGGCACACCCCTGCCTGCTGTTGTTGCGGGCCTCTCGCCGCTGCCCACCTCTAAACATAGCGGCCAGCGGGGAGAACTGGAAAGATGCCGCAGGAGTGAAGCGGCGGTGGGAGAGCGTTGCTCGGGCTCCGTATGCGGGAAGGAGCTTCCCCGGCGCGGGGCTCCGTGTGCGGGAAGGAGCTTCCCCGGCGCGGGGCTCCGTGTGCGGGAAGGAGCTTCCCCGGCGCGGGGGCTCCGTGTGCGGGAAGGAGCTTCCCCGGCGCGGGGGCTCCGTGTGCGGGAAGGAGCTTCCCCGGCGCGGGGGGCGCCGCGGGGCGCTGCGGGCGGGGCCGCAGTGCGCGGCGGCGGGCGCCAGGGGGCAGCGGCGGGCCGGCGGCGCTGCGGGCGGGGCCACGCGCGCGTCCAGTCCCGCTGCCCATCCCGGCCCGCTGTCCTGCGCTTACCGGCCCCGCCCAGCGCCCTGCTTCCTCATGGCACAGGGCCGGGAACTGCCCTGACCGGGACGAGGGAGCGGACTACGAGCTCCGCGGGTTCAAGGAGACTCGAACTCGTCCTCCCGGGAAGGGAACCCGGCTCAGCCCGTATTGCGGGGTGAGTGCGGGAGTGTCGCATGAGCCCTGTGCCGCGACACTGCGACACAGGGGCTGGGCTGTGTCCCTTCGTAAGACTCTGGGCACTCACCGCATCCTCCCAAAGGTTAAAAGCAGGAGGCGCGTCAAAGGGCCTTTCTGAGCCCCTTAGCTTCTCCCTCCCTCCCTCTGGAACGGTGCTTGCTTACTGCACGGAATGCAGCCCCAGCACTGAAGGCTATCCTGATATTGCATCCCGGAGGGCTCTTTCCTTCAAACAGATTTTAGAGCAGAAGCAGGGACAGTCCCTGCTCCGCTTTCGGGGTAGCGAAGCCCTGCAGGGAAAAGGAGGCTGACTCGATCCGTGCGTTTGCTGGCGATAATTCCCCAGCACTTTCCCTCAGGCGAGTCGTAAACTGGGAATTATTTCAGTGGCCGAGTGGTTTAAAAGGATACGTGAGGGGACTGTGCAGGGACGATCAGAGCTGCTCATCGGGGGCTATTTACTAAGCGCTCCCCCCTTCCCTTAACGCGGAAAATACGAGACGAGCAGAGGGCTGGCCCGAGCCGTCACCTCCGTAACGTGGGGAAAGAGGGAGAAGCGTGCTATCGATGCCTGGGAAAACTTTCATGATTTTGTTTTCGAGAGTCGGCAATAGGAACGACAGGGCAAAATACACCTGATGCTTGGAACGGTGCTTCCTTACTGCACGGAATGCAGCCCCAGCACTGAAGGCTATCCTGATATTGCATCCCGGAGGGCTCTTTCCTTCAAACAGATTTTAGAGCAGAAGCAGGGACAGTCCCTGCTCCGCTTTCGGGGTAGCGAAGCCCTGCAGGGAAAAGGAGGCTGACTCGATCCGTGCGTTTGCTGGCGATAATTCCCCAGCACTTTCCCTCAGGCGAGTCGTAAACTGGGAATTATTTCAGTGGCCGAGTGGTTTAAAAGGATACGTGAGGGGACTGTGCAGGGACGATCAGAGCTGCTCATCGGGGGCTATTTACTAAGCGCTCCCCCCTTCCCTTAACGCGGAAAATACGAGACGAGCAGAGGGCTGGCCCGAGCCGTCACCTCCGTAACGTGGGGAAAGAGGGAGAAGCGTGCTATCGATGCCTGGGAAAACTTTCATGATTTTGTTTTCGAGAGTCGGCAATAGGAACGACAGGGCAAAATACACCTGATGCTGCTAACTGGAGAGAGGATAGAACGAAAGCACCGCCAGATAAAAACGTCTGCCCGCGGTCTTTTGTTGCAGTACGAATTCGCGATACACGACCTTTTCCTTTTTTCTTTCCTTTATTCGTTCCCCGCTACCTCTGCTGGAGCTACCTCCGAAATAAAAGCGGAAACGTGGGCTTTGGAAAGCCACGTCTCACCCTGCCCGTGTCGCCCAGACCTGAGCCTCTCTCAGACTTGCAGTACGGTGTTACACCTCGCGTTGGCCCTGCATCGCCTCGCCTCCGCACGTCTCCAAACCTCGGTGAGGCAAGAGAGGTGATGGACGAGAGGGGCGAGTCCGGAGCCCTCGCATCTGCTGTCCTCCGTGGGCTCCAAGCCCGTGGGTGGGCAGAGTTACATGCCTCTGTTCCCATCCACGGGCTTTCGGGGAGGACTTAAAGCAAGGCTGTGATTGCATTCATCCTGTTACGGGCGTGTTTTGCTGAGGCAGGGAATAAGTGAGTTTCCGAGCACCCCGTCATGTATTACTGCCCGCACTTTGAGCACTTTGGGATTAGCTGGAGGCAAAACTCCAGGTTCAGGTGGAAATGCCCCGGAGACAACGTGCATGGGGCAAGCGGAGAAGCAACAGTGGCGGGCTGCAGTGCTCGCTCTTTTCAAGCAACTCCGCGGGGAAAATTGCAGCAATTTCCACATAACGAAAACCAAGTTAGGAGGGGAAAGATAATGGAAACAATTAGTGGCTGAGTTGGCGCGTTTCGAGTAATGAAGCCCTGCGCGTCCGGCACCGTTCCGTGAAGGGTGCAGCGTTGGCTGCCATAGATAAATCCCGCTGTTCATTTTCATTCTTGTCTCGGCAGAGCCGGGCGAGTCCCGCCGATCCCCTCGCGTCGTCCTCGGAGGCTCCGTGTGCTGAAGCCCGGGGCAGTGCCGGGGGCTGGTAGCGCATCACTCCTGCGTCTCGGAGCCCCCATGGTGCTCACCCCGAGCGGGGAGTGTCCGTTCCCGTCTTCACCCGAGGTCCCGGGGATCAGCCCCTCCGGGTATCTTTTCAACCTCTTTTATTCCAGGCGGCTGAGGCTCATACATCACCGATCCTCCTCGTGCCTCGCAAACTCTCACCTGGCGTTATTGTATCCCAAATAAATTTTCTAAACGAGCATTTGCCTCCCAAATACGGATATAATCTTCACTGGCATTCTTGTTAATGACTTCCATTGAACCGATGCGGCAAAGCTCTTTATCTTATAGCGCAATGCAGAATGTGGCGTTGTACACATATGGTTTAGTTTTTTCCCCCCTGATTCCTGCGAGCTGGGCAGCTTTCAGCCGGGAAAGGCGCACTTACACGTATTTGATTCCTTGCACATTCTAATACACTGAAACGGTACAGGATGGTTTGGGGGATATGTTTGGGCAGAGAGATTAAACTAAGTCTAGGCAAATGTACTGTTAAAGGCGATTCCGAAGAAGTAAGTCTATCTTTAAGACAGAGCTAAAAAATGCCCTGGACATTTTAATTGCTGTTGCTGAAAATAGGCTGAATACGGAGAGATCAATTGCCATGGCAAACTGATCAAGAGTAAGAGTTAAGATCAGGTGTGGGGGGCATATATATATATAAAGGGGGAAAAAAATCTAGAATGAAGGTACGTGTAGAGCCTCTTATACGGGATGATGCCTGCAGAGCCGGGGGTGCTCTGTGCGTCGGTCTGGTGTGCAGCGCGAACTCTGCAGGGGTGAAGGCAGAGGGCAAGCGAGGGGGGAAATTGTCTGGCAGCCTGCCCGGAGCCACCCCCAGGTACGGCCTCTTCGGAGCCCTGCTGGAGCCGGCGACTCCCCGCCTGGAGAGGCGTTTTTGGGAACCCCGCGGCCGACACAAATTGGCGCCGCCGGGTCCCTGCAACCTTCCCCTCTTTCCCGGCCCCTGGAGAGCAGCGGGGCTGCCTGGGTTCCCCGCGCCGCTCCCGAAACTTATCCCAGCTTGGAGGCTGCACCCAGGGGCTCGCCTGCCTCTCACGCCGCGTGTGCCGCTGTGTGTATGTGTGTGTGTGTGGGTGTGTGGGAGCGTCAGCTGTGTGTGTGTGGAAGCGCTGGGCTGCCGTGTCCGTGCCTGCTTTCTGTTTGAAGGCATCTAGAAGTGTTGTCTCTGGTGTCCACAGGACCCGCTGGCAAGGCAGAGGGGGTGAGTATGAGCCCCCGCTTTCTGCTGTGTCTTAGATGCCAGGCCGTCCAGTCTGGAGTGTGATCTTTCTTTATCTTCATCTGAGAAACAACAGTTTAGTCCGCGTTCTCCTTCTTCCTCTGAATTTGACAGGGAAGCGTAGGTGCAGTTTTGTTTCGATCAAAGCAATGCCTGCAAAAGCGATGTGTACTTCCATCCAAACTCTCAGAACTCTGCCACCACTTTCCAGGCTGAACTCAAACGCCTTTTCTAACTTGCAAAATTTGTTCGTGTCCCTGCTTGACAGTCTGTCCAGCTATTTGTCTATCTATCTTCCTTTAGGGTTGACCTTTCTGGGAGAGGCAGCTCAGGTCGGATTGTCAAGTTTGCGTCCAGTCCTGTCCAGTTTGATTGGCGTGAGTTTGCCCTCAACCCTCCCTCTCCCCCGAGGTCGTTCTTTTTTGAGTAATTAGACAAGGAAAGTCTCATCACCCTTCTGAGCACCTAAGGTCACCAAACCAAAACCCAATCACAGTACTCAAAATTCAGAGGGTTTCTCTGAAGAAAATATACTTGTACTTATATACACGAACACACCCATTAAAAGCTTTCGAGCTGCGCCAGCGTGTAAATGAGGTGTCAACTCCGATTATGTTAAAAGAGATAACATTGATTTCCTAGGCATATTTGAAACAGGTTACCAGTTTATTGTTGACTGGTTTGTTGTTTGGGATCTTTTTCTCCTGAAATAAACATGAACTAATTTCTGAAATCGTTTTCCTCCATGGGGTTTCCCCCTATTCTGTGATGTGTCTGCCATTGTAAACGGAAGATGAGCAATTTCTAAATCTGGGATCAGGGTTAGAGGACCAGAAGAGTTAAATGCCGCCAACCCAGTTCTGTTTCTAGACACACATGTTTTGGAATATGGCGATATGCAGACGAAAAGGTGCTCTCCGAAAGGACGAGCCTCTCGGCGTTTAGCCGGGAAACAGTGTAGGATGAAAACTGCAGCTGCCGAGATCGGGATCCCGACCCCGAAAAGTTTGTTCTGTAGCTCTTTACAATGATTATTTCAAGGAAGACTGAAGAAGTCAAGCTCTTATTTCAGCTCCGCACGGGTTTGCAGCCGCAAACCGTACGGGACGGTGCTGTAAAGCTCCCAAGAGCTGGTGACACATCGGATTTTCACGTTTTGTGTGGTGCCGCCGAGGTGTCTTCTCTCCAGCGAGGTTTTGGGGCTTGTGCGCCGTGACGGTCTCTCGGGGAGAGGGAAATGTTTGCTTGATTTGTTTTCCAATGCCGACGTTAAAACGAAAAGGCGGCCTTTGAAGCGTCTCTTTTAAGCCGCGCCGTGCAGACCTGGAAAGCAATTCGCCGGGGATCAGTCGTGAAACCTAAAGAGGGAATGGGGAGCCTGCAAATCTTTGCAGCCGCAAAGAGAATTAATCGCATAACCCCGGCACCGGCTAGACGGCGTCCGCCCGTTTTTTAAAAACCAAAAAAAGAGAGTAAAAACCCGATGCGAAAACCAGAGAAGATGCAGCTACAATAAAAACGGGTCAGTAAAGCCCACACTGCACGGGCCGACCCGCAGTGCCTGGTGTCAGGGCGGAGGGAGAAGGTGTGACCCCGAGGTGTCACATCTGTCGGCGGGGCCTTGGCCGGGGTCCCCGGGCAGGGCAGGCGGCGGGCGAGGCCGCGGCCACGAAGCGGAGCTGAGACTCGCTCAGCTCCACCGCGGGTGCAGCAGGCACTGCGAGGGGAAGGATCGCCTGCAGAGCTGCAGCTAAAGGCCCAGAGCCCCTGCCCCGGCCGTGCTCTTTTGGGCTTCTGCCGACCCAGCTCGGCCTTTTTTGCTGGTGGACGGGAGACGCCTGGCTTCTCTTGCTTTTCCGACCAGACGACAAAGAGCTGAGATTTCTCTTCTGCGGCTCTCTGGGTTATTCCTTCTCCCACTTTGCTGTCTTATGCTTGTCCATTAACTTTAAAAACTTGGCGAAGGTTTCTATTCCCGGGGCTCCAGATACATCTCCTGACACGCAAGAGTCGCAGTCGGCTTTTTCCCTTTCACAGGAAACCGCCCTGCCAAAGGGGGTTTCTTCTCTGCTCCAAGTTCAAAGGCACAGTCCTGAAGTAGTTAAGGGGGCAAAAGGGACACGTGTGGGGGAGGCACCGGGTCAGGAGCGCAGGGTCGAAGCCATTAGAGCCTCCGCCTCTGCGGCCTTGCCCTTTATGGCCTCAGCATTTCGCTGCGGGCACCGTCCCCATGCATGGGACCGAGGGGCTTGAGGGACACCGAGTGGGGTAGGGAAACATCCTGATGCTTCTCTTTGGAAGCACTAAAGAGCTGGCACTGGGGGCCATCGAGCCCGAAAGAGTGACCTCGGCAGAGAGCGGGGCTGGAGGAGAGCGTGATTTTCCCACCCGCTCTCCTGCCTCCTTGGGATTCGTGATCACTGGGGTACCGGGGCAGGCATATCCTACTAATAAACGGAATAATAATTTCTCTGTCGCTCCCGCTACCTGCTTCTTCCCGTCCACTACATCCCCTGTCAGCCTGAGGGTGTCTGCTGGTGAAATCTTCCCTCGCCGATGCTCTCTGCTCCTTCCCTGCGAGTTATTGGGTTACACTGGGCTGCTGTGTTATACGGGGCATGTGCTGGGTTGTTAGAAACCTCTATAAAAGAATAAAGACTTAGTGGCAGCCCGCGCCTGAAACTCGTTTACCTACGCGTTATAACACAGCCCGCAGAGGCCGTTTAGAAGCGACGGAATTTGGGCTTGTAGAAAGACGAGTCTCCCACTATTTCTATTTGGTCGAAAGAATAAAGCCGTGTAAGGTGTTTCCTGTCTACTTGAGATTTTGTGCGGCACTTTAGGCAGGTTATTTCTTTGGAAAACAGCCATGGAGCCCATTGTCTTTATCTGATGCTTGAAAGATTGGGGAGGAGAGGAAGAAGAAAAATCATTGTTAAGAAACACTTTGAAGTTGTGCAACTGTTGCTGCTCCAATTTTTTTCTCCAGTTTCCAGATGCACCAGAAATCGTTACTTTGATCTCACAAAGCAGCAATTTATATTTTTTAATTTTTTTAAAAAATGGTTGGGTAACTCAAAGCGTAATGGCAAACATGCCGGGATGAGGTCATCGGGCCGCGCGGGGAGGCCCGGGAGGCGGGAGCGAGCGCCGGGAGCGCAGGAATGAGGCGGCGGGGAAGGACCGGGCTTTCTCTCCGGACGAGCCTGGTTGCCGGAACATCTGCTCAGAGCTGATCTTACATCCCCGCTCGTTCACAAGGGAGAAGTGTGCCAGTGCACAAGGGGCTGGCTGAGCGTGCGGTGAGAGCCTCCCTTTTATGCCCTTGCCAGGGGCTGGCGGAGGGGCGCGATGCCACGGAGGGAGGCGCACCTCGAGCTGCAAGGAGCCCAGGAGCTATTAAAAACTGCGGCTGGAGCCGTGGCGAGGGCCAGGACACGGCTTGGCAAATGGTCCAACCCAATTTCGTCAGAGCAGGAGGGAGATCATAGGACCATATAATATACTGAGTTGGAAGGGACCCTCAATGATCATCGAAGTCCAATTCCTGGCCCTGCACACGGCAGCCCCATGAATCACACCATGTGCCTGAGAACGTTGTCCAAACGCATCCTGAACTCTGTCAGGCTTGGTGCTGTGACCATTTCCTTGGTAGACCGCTCCAGTCAGTGCCCAACCACCCTCTGGGCGAAGAACTTTTTCCTGATATCCAGCCAAAACATAACCTGACACAGCTCCAGGCTGTTCCCTCGGGTCTTGTCACTGGTCACCACAGAAAAGAAATCGGGATCTGCCTCTCCGGCCTATGAGAGCCCTCTGCTTTCACTGGTGCATGGCCAACCCTCTTTGAGCCTTCCTCCAAAATTAGTTGCCCCACATAAAACCAGGAGCCTCGCGTCCGTTGCGACCCTCCCAGCTCAGGGATACGACCCATAGCCTAGAGTTACCAAAGCCAACCCGACCCGTTGCCTGAGCCCACCGGTGCGGCTCTGTCCCGTCTGCTCCCTCCTTGCCCGGAGAAGCCTAGACCAGCATCCCTGTTCCCAGGGTCACGGCCGCCGCCGGGCCCGCGGTGATGGCAGGGACAGCGCGAAGATGGGCTGACAGCTGCCTCCCCCTCCCTGACCGAGCCACAGCCACCTGCCTAATGGCTTGGCTCCCGGGAGACACCCACCCGTGCGGAGGTCAGGAGTTTATTTTGCTAAGGAAAATCAAATGGGAGGAAGGATAAGGGGAGTGTGTTTATGCAGTGGACCCGAGAGACACGGACCCCATCACTCTTCCACTGAAAACACGGGCCCATGTTGAATCAGCGGCTTGACTGCTGGTGATTGTCTTGCTGGGCAATCACTGACGCCCCTGCCTGGCTTTTCCATTCCAAAGATGCCGGCCCGGATCAGGCTGCTGACCCTACAGAGCACACATATTGTGAAGTGGCGCTCTCGGAAGCCCGTCGTGCCCAGCGGGGATGTTCGCAAAGCTCCTCGGGTGCCCGCGCTGGAGAGAGCTCGACCCGGGCTCTGCTTCTGCCGTGCCGGGCGGGTCCCCGGTCGGATTGCGAGGGGGCTGCGCCCTCCTTCCCCCGAGCTCTGGGAACCGCTCCGCAGCAGCCGCATGCCAGCGGGATTTCGTTGTGAGGACGCCTGGACCCACGCGAGCCCCTGGCAACAGAAGGCTGGCTCTGATCCCGCTGCTGCCAAGGGGCGAGACGGCTCCAGCCGCCGCTCTCTGGCGAGAGGGCCCGGGCAGCGGGGGAGACACGTCCCGCAGGGTGGCTCCCCGCACGGGCCGGCGTGTCACCGCTCGGGCTGGCGTGTCACCGCTCGGCTGTCCCGGAGTGGAGGCTCCGGTGCTGCCGCGGTCCCCGCTCCCCTGCGTGGTGGGGGCTGCTCGCTGCCTACCCCGCTGCGGGGAGGGGTGCGGGGAGAGCTGCACACGCCAGCGGGAGGCGAGGTGCCCGCGGGGGACAGGAGACCTGCCAGCTGGCGGCCAGGCACGCTGCAGCCTGCGGGCAGGGAAATCTGTGTTCTCCAGGGTAGGGGGCAGCCCCGTACTGCTAGAAGCGGCCTTCCCGTGGGAAACGGGGCCGAAGTGACTCGAGGGTGAGGTGGTGGGATCTGTCGTGACTGTTCAAACCCCTTATTTTTAAAAGGGAAGAAATGCGGGGGGAGGAGGAAGAAGAGACAGAAATGAGATGCTGACACTGAGGAGTCGCAGGGAGACATCAACAATCGGTGCCTATAGACCACATCAAAGCACTGCAGAGCAACAATGAAATGCCTTGAAATACTTCTTAATGCAATGTTTGCATTGGGCAAGTCCACAGATGACGCCGAATTTGCCATCACAAGAGAAAGAAAGCTGCAGATGAGGTTTAACCAACATTTCTCTGAAACCCGACTATAGAGGGAAAAGAGAGGAAGGGAGAGGGAGAGATTTTTATAATCCTGAAAGGCAAGAGGAGAAACCACATCAACGCAAAGTGAGTAAAATGCGGCAGGGCAGGATTACTAAGGCACAGGGGGATCTTAACAAATAGACCAATATACCACAAAACATCTGTAAAGAAGAAAACTTCCAGTCAGGATTGGTACGGAGGCACTTTTGACTCAGAGGCTATTGCTCTGCTATTTTAGAAGAGGCAATACTTGTTCCCCCTGGAGCCCCCGTTCCCCTGGCGATACGGGGGCACACACAACCTGAGTTTTGTCCCGATAGCTGGAAAGCTTTTCCGGGCGGGACGCCTCTCGCACGGATGGTGAAGAAGGAAAACGGGGGCGAATGTGTGTGCTGGCAAGGAGAAAGCCTCTGGGTTCCGGTCAGTCTCTGCCAAACAAGCAGTCACACTCAGATGAGCGCTTAATTGCTATTGTGTTTTTGTTTTCCAAAGGCAGAACTCCTATTCCCTGAGCGCGGCTGCAGTGTGGCACAGGCTGGCTTTGTCTGGTTGCTGTGCGGCCGCTCTCGTCATGCTGGCCCCGCCTGACTGCAGCCCAAAGCCAGCAGTACCTATTTAGCCTCCTGCCACCCACGCACGAGAGAATGGCTGGATGCCGGCGGCTGAACACCCCTCTGCCCTGCAGCGAGCCTCTCCCTCGCTGACTGCTCCTTCCCGAGGAGATGAAGCCCCGATCTATGCTGGACTGTCAGATCCCGCTCTCAATTTGCTTCGTCCTTCCCCCGTGGGCGAGCTGCTGTACCCTCTGAATTTGGCTCTCCCACCTCACCCGCTGGCCGGCCGTGCCAGGCGAGACCCGGCACTCTTTTCCTAAGCCGGAGCCCGTCGCGGCTGAGCGTCCCGTGCTGTTTTCAGACAGAACCTCCCGGTTGCTGCGCCCACGCCGGGCAGCCTCGGGAAGTGCTGCCGGGGCTGCCTGCCCTGGGTCCGGCTGGCCGGGGCGCTCCGCTCTTCCCTGCTGCGGAGATGTCCCCGCGGTTCTGTCCCCGCGGTTCGCAGCTGGCTGCTGCCCGCCGCCCGCCCCAAAATATTGTTCTGCCGGAGCCTGAAAGGCGGCATTGCGGCCCTCGGGCTCCTCCTCCGAGTATGCCACACGCCGCTCCTTGACCCGGGGCGACTCCGTGCCCGCAGCGACAGGGCCGAGCCCGGGGCAGGGAGAGAGGCCCTGCGGCGGGGAAAGCACCGCACACTGCCGGGCTCGCTGCTGCGGGATCCTGTCTCCCGGGACATGGAGAGAGAAGATAATTTCACTTATAGAATCACGATAGAACGTGATCCCGACAGGAATGCGGCCGGCACCGAGACGGGAGCGGGGGAATATCTATAGGTTTCTGCGGCTTTGCGGGGAATTAGCAGGATGAGCTGTGGGGGGCCGAGAAAGCTGCGGTGAGGGAGAGATAAAGGTTCGGCTGGGTATCCCACGGCGTAATCACTCGTTGCGCACTGTTCGATTCCAAGGTTTCTATCTTCCAGGCAGAAGAAATCCCTGCGAGGTGTGCAGCTCACACGGGGAAAAAAAAAAAAAAAAAAAAAAAGGACCACCTCCTGGGACACAGACACAGAAGAAGTTCCTCCTGCCAGCCCAGAATTTCGACCTGAGAGAGCCCAGTCCCCGGCAGCTTTCTGGTTACTAGAAACTAATAAAAACAGTATTAGAAGCTAATAAAATCTTGCTTAATAATAAATCTGGGTAAATTCCGGGCGCGGGGCAAGAGCGGGAGAGGTTTGGGATGCAAAAAGAGGGCACGGGTCTGGGTCTGGTGGCTCATGACCACTTTCTAGGGTCTTGGAGGGGCGTGTCTGGCGTGCCTGGCTCACACAGCAGCCGTGTTTCACGTGGGTCAAAATAAGGCGTGTTTGAAGTTCCCGGGTTGTGCCACGAACGTATCTCGTGAGGAGGCCGGGATCCACTCTCCTGCTTCTGTAGTGGTGCCTAGCGTCCATAGCACTGTTTTCCATAGTGGGAGGATTTCATCCGGCGGCCACAGATCTTTTGAATAGTCCCATTAAAATCTGCTTCGTTTTAGGTTCGGCCCTAAACGGGATTGTTTACGGTATAACACATCATGTATGAGGTAGGGGAGCGCAGAGACGTCTCTTGGTTCAAAGAGCCGTGCCTCGAAGAGGAAAAAAAAATCCCTTATATTTATTTTTTTGACCGAACACACATTGAAATACTGTGTGCATTCCTGCTTTCCTCCCTGAAAAGCGAGCTTTGGATCCCGTCTCGCTAACAAGGGGCCGGTTGTCCGCCTGCAGCGCCCCGTATGAGAACTATTGTGAGCAAGACCCGCAGCGTTTTCTGGGGAACGCAATTTTTTAGGCGTGTATGAGCCTTGGGGACAAGAGCGGGACAAGGGGCGGCGTGGCTGGGTCCTGCCGGGGGAGGTTAAGGCACCCTTGGCTTCTCCTTCTCCTCCTTCCCGGCAGCAGCTCAGGCTGGGACGGCTGCAAGGTACCGTGGGCCCTGTGTCTCCAGATCTCTCTCCACTGATCGCACTCAGTCCTGTGGGTTTGGGAGCCGAGGGTTGCATTTGGGCTGGGAAAATAATCCAACCAAAAAGAAAGCAAATCCCCAAACGTCAATTCCCTTGAACGATCCCAAATTATAACAGCAGCAATTATCTGCGAAGAAGCAGCCCTTCAACGCTCCTCTGTGTAAAAGCTGTTTGCTGCCAGCTTCAAACTGATTTCTTTTACTTTTCCGATGGAAAAGTAGCCAGGCTCCCTGCAGAGAACAGTCACCTTTCAGACTGAAATCTCCCTGACGAGACTCACGCGTGGGCTGCCCCACGCCTGATCCTGGCCCGGTTTTCTCGGTGCTCCTCGTGGGGTGATAAAGGAGGCGGACACATCCCGATAGGAGCGCTGAGCCACTGCAGAGCTGAGCCCCTCGGCCTCCTGGGGATGCTTGACCGGAGACCTTCCCGAGACCAACTCTAGTGCCCTGACTCTGACAGTGGATCTGGTTAAAGGTCTTATCCTGGAGTTTGTCTAGATACAGCCTCGCTGCCGGCTTTCCCCCGCTCCTCCCGAGGTCTCCTAGCCCTCTAGAATTCGGAAATTCCTTCAGGGTGGTTTATGTATTGGGGGAAGAACCCCAAAATGAGCAAACAAACAAACAATCCAACCCAGACGTATGAAACGCTTTGAAATCTCTCTGGGTCCCTTCTGGCCGGCTAACACCACTCCAGAGTCCACCTGGAAACAGGAGCAGGAAGAAGGAGGCCCCGAGGAAACCTCAGCGACCCAGTGCGGATGAGGCCGGGGGAGCGCGCAGGGGGGCAGCGGAGCCCAGGAGCCCGTGTGCACCTTCTGCTCGGCACCAGCACCCCGTGTGAGCGACTTCGGCTGGCTTTGCCACCTCTTCTCGGGGGTGTGAGTGTGGGTGTGCAAATAAGGTTGTCAGGAGGGTAGTGTGGCGGGTGGCATGGCTGATTGGACACCTCTGTTCCGCATGGAGCCTAGCGGTGTACAGTTTTTTGGTGGGGTTTTTTTTGGGTTTTTTTTGGTTTGCTCCGCTTTCCGGTGGTGTTGCCAACCTCTGCCCTCCTTGGAGCTGCCTCCTGCCTCTCGCCATCCGAGAGCTGCAGCCACGAGGATTCATTCACCTGTCAGCAGAGACCTCAGCACAAGGCAGGGAGAAAATCTGCAGAAGAGGGAGGAAAAATAAATATCTTACCAAAAAAAAAAAAAAAAAAAAAGCGGGCGGCAGGAGCAGCCGGAGCCGGGATTGGGTCCGGGCCGCCCGTGGGTGTGAAGCCGAGTGTCCCGGGCGGGCGCGCCCCCAGGCTGTGCCCGGCGGCCGCGGCGCGCAGGGAGCGTGGGGCAGCGCAGCCCGCCCGCGTGTGTCTGCGGGTTTCACGCAAGCAGCCAGAGCTGAAAGCGGCAGAAACTCCGCGAAAGCGGGTCTGTAGTCTGCAAATGAAGAGAGAGATCATCTAGTCCCCCGCTTATCGTTCCGGGTTGTTCTGAAGTTTGGCGCGGTAAATACGAAATGCATGGCTTTTAATCCTGCCTGTGTTGTCCCAAGTCAGTAACTGAGAAGGCAGAAGGGTCTCTTAGCCGCGACTTTGGTCTTTGTTTTTTTTTGCGAGGGGAACCTGCTCTGTGTGAATTATTCATCATAATTGCCTATTTCCAAGCAGCACGGCGGGGAGGCTCCGAAATGCAGTCAGGTCTGACTGGTGCCTGGAGAAAAGTGACGCCCGGAGCCGGTGGAAGTTCAGGGACAATTTTAAGTTCCCGATTCTCCTCCCCACCGGGAACACTGGGGCCGGCATGGGGATGAATATGGGGGGAGGCCCGGGGACAAGGGGCATTTTGTTGCCTTAAGCCCTTAAGGAAACGTGCCTATGCCTTTCTGCTCTGCCTGGTCTCCTTCTGCCACCCCTAAAACAGGAGAGACAAAAATAATATATGCGCCGAAACAAACAGGGGAGAAGTCCTGGTAAAATGGAGGGAAAGTAGTGGCTGTTTTTTATAGTCCAAGTGTATAATCGGATTTTTTTCCCTGTCCTGATAGAAAGCAGATAAATTTAGGAAGGGAGAGCTAAGAGAATAATTACAGGGTGAAGGTAGTTAAATTTTATTTCGAGTCCCAAAGGCAAAACCTGACATTTTATTGCAAACATCTGGAAGGCTTAAGAGACTGGCATGGTGTTTGTTTAAACACTAATAGAGATTTTTATTCTGTAAAACACAAACAAAGCCCATTTAAAAACACTTGAGACTGTAAATATTTTGCGGTGGTTCAATTCTCAAAGCCTGAGAAAACCGGGGGAAGGGGAGGGGGAACGAATCGACAGCATAATAGGGGTATAATTATGAATTAGTTAATATACGCAACAATACCGTTTGTGCAGACCATAAAAATAAATTGCAAGCGTATTTTTTTCCCCAGTCACAATAACTGACCCCGCGCAGCACGGGAACATCACCTCGCTCGTTTTTCCAAGCGGCGACTTGTGCTTGCTTTAAACTTGCCTCTTTCTAGAGAGCCAGCCTCGAAATCCTCGATCCGCTAAAAGATAATCGGCGCTGGGATAAAGCCCAGTAAATCGCTCGCTCACCTTATCAGACAGCCTGGTTTTAACGTTGTTTTCAATTACTAACTTTTTAAAAAAGAGAAATAACAATAAATCCACGGGCTAGGTCTGGGGAAACCTTCGGAAAGGTTTTTCTTGCTGTGGAGAAGGGTTTGAAAGTGGCCCAGCCCCTGCAAACAGCACATCTGGACTGCACTCCCGCCCAGCAGCCGGCTCCCCTTATTTCTCTTTTTTCCCCAAATATTTCCATATATAAACAAATATTTTTCAGGCTCGCTCTGCGACAACTGGAAAGCAGAAATGAATGATTTCTTTATAAACCCCGAGGCCTGGCCCTGCGACCCTTGCTCCTGCCACTTTATTCCAGGGAGCAGTTTCCTGGATTTAATGGGAGCTACCCCTGCGAGTAAGAGTCTGGAATAAAGACCAGGCAAAGGGACGCATTCATCTCTGGCTGCCGGGGGTCGGAGTCGGATCTGAATCCAGATTAAGGCCAGGCCTCGGGTAGACTCGAGTTTACGCCGCTCGCCGCGGGGAGAGGGGACCGTGGCCTCGGTGCCGCTGCGGCTGAGAGGAGCCCCGCGGTCCGGGTGCGGGCGGCGCAGCGCCTTTTGCTCAGTCAGGTCTTAATGCAAAGGCTCATCCGAAATCCCATCCCCCGGCTCGGGGAGAGGGGCTTTCCTCTGGGTGAGCTTTCTCAGAGCAGGGGGCAGCGAGCCCTGCGAGGGGGCAGCGCTGGCTCTCTGTCCCTCCCGCCCCTCTCATCCCTCCCCTTTCCCCCGGCACTTCCAGTGGGGCCGCAAGGTCGCCGCAGGGTCTGCGCGCTCTCTCCGCTCGCACGGCGCGGCAGCAGTGCCTTTGTGTTTGCCGCTTTGGCACGGGCACAGGGAGGGCGAGCAGTCCTAAACCTCCCGGGCACCAGGACAGGGCCAGGGAGGAGGGAGAGGAGCAGTCGTCGGGGCCGGGAATCCCCGCGGTTCCGGGAGAGGTGTCCGGGAGCGCGGGGAGCTGCTCTCCCGCTCCTGGCAAAAGGGTCTGCTCCCTGGGGTTTGACAATTAGGGGCCGTGTGGGCTTGGGAAAACACAAGTGTCTCTTGTCGGTGCTGCAGAGGCTGTGCTCGGCTGCCAGAGCCGGGCGCGGAGCGCTCCCACACCTCAGCTCGCAGATTTCGGGTGTCACAGGAGAGAGCCCCAGGGTAGGAGACCCAAAAGGGGTCGGGGCTGCTTGAAACCGTCCACGAGTAAAACTACACTTACTGCTCTGAAAAACGTATTTCTGAGTTCTTACATCAGTTCCCAAAATTCGCTTAAATCTCTCTGCCTTTCCAGCACCATTTATTTTCACTAAACCGCTATAAATAATCCACCGTTTTCTTGGGCTCTTTTGCTAAAATCTCCCTCCAGCTTCTTTGAAAGCCTTCCTCGGTGCCTGTATCTCGGACAAGTGTTTCCGAGGCTTTCGGAAAGAGGGAAAAAATTGTTTTGATGGGTTTTTTTTGGGGATTTTTTTTTTTTTGAGACATTCCTTCGCCTGGGAAAAGTCACACAGCTGGGGGACCCGCTGGAAACACGCGTGCCCTACTCCGAGTCCCCGCTCCGCTGTCGCCTTCCTCCAAGCCCCTGCCTCGTTCGCTCCC